CTAGGATTTTCCTTTTTTTTCCAAGAACATTATTTTCCTGTTATTTTGCACAATCCATGCTCCTTCATTTTATATTTTTTTTACGATTTCTTTTCGTAAACGTGTCTGTCGGTTTCTGTGAGTCCCAAATAGCCTCAATAGCATCATCCGCTCAACACTTGCTAAGACAGAATGTCTCCATTAACAACCAAGTGTTACCCTTTGTAAATTATTGTCGGACATTTCGGTCTTGTCGGCATATATATACGCTAATGACGTCAATATGAATATGACGTCAATATGAATATGACGTCATGACAAACATGACGTCATTATGGTTTTCGCCTTTGTTATTTTCGCGGACACGAATTATTTGTGTTACGTTTTTTATTTAAAAGAATCAAGAAATAATGTAATTTGTCCGTCCAGGCACTTGTTTGGGTAATTCGAATTACAATTTAGAAAGTGTCCACTCCACAGTTAATTCGAATTGAAGCGAATTAACTAATTCGCATTAACGAAAACGCATTCCTAATGCGAATTGGATAATGCGAATCAGCCAATTCGAATTCGATTCGAATTAAAAAAAGAAGAGTGTGTGAACGCGATTAGCGAATTCGATTCGCATTCGATTCGAATTCAATTCGAACTAAATGTACGTGTGAACGAGGCATGAATAATGCGAATTAACCAATTCGAATTCTATTCGAATTAAAAAAAGAAGAGTGTGTGTACGCGATTAGCGAATTCCATTCGCATTCGATTCGAATTAAATGTACGCGTGAACGAGGCATAAGGAAATTTCTTTCCGTGCCTAATACATCAAATACAAGTTTTAGAAATCTCCTCGATCCTTATTCCCAAAACATTTTAGACTTCATTGGAAGTAATTTATATTCTAATAAAAGCTTGTTCCAGTGACATAAGAATATACTGAAAACGGGGGGGGGGGGGGGGGGGGGGGGGGGCTTCTGAAAGTGACAAGCAAAGGAAAAACAATCTATTGTTTGATGGCCGAGAAGTTATTCAATATCTCTTTCATTTTAATTTTTGATAATTTGTTGTTGCTATAGAGAGGGCGGTTTTCCCCCTTGTCCACCGACTCGGCTTACGTCATTCGATTTTATCCCAATACAGCGAAATCAATCACTTAAGAGGGGCGTAAAGGGGGGTATCTGCACGGAAGAACGCGAAATAAAATTGCCATTTCACGATGAACGAACAACTAAAAATTTCTTGCACGTTATTTTTTTTTACCGATTTCACGAAACACGGTGAATAACGAACCTTTTTCACGGCAGCACGTGAAACAAAAATTGCAAAACACGAAAATAACCCTTTACCACCCTCACTTAATTATGGGACCAACATTATTCAATATGTAACTCTTCAATGATGAACTTTTGGTCTATTTTGAATAAGCGGAACCCATGGATGTGTCCAGCAAACAAAACAGACTTAACTAATGACTGACCTCCATTACTTAAATGGAGATTTTTGCTTGTCTGAAAGTAAAAGTGTAATATTTACCTCACACCCTTTCACGTTATGATCAAAGTGATTTTCTAAAAGTCCCGGTTATTTTTAACTTTGGTATCTTTAAAAACAAACAAACCGGTAGTTTAAATTTTAGTTCAGGTATGTGATAATAGTACTGGTTACTTGTTTGTTTTTTTTTTTTTTACTATTTTTGAAAGTTTACCAAGTTTGATTTTACATCATGTTTATTTGACATTTGAGCACCTAAATCAGTTGATTGATTTCTTTTTTTTTTTTGTTTTGTTTTGTTTTTTTGTTTTTTTATATTCGATAAAACATATGATAAAAAGATATCGATCGAAGAAGATAATATCCGTAATTGTATTCCTAAGTTATGCAATTGATTGATTTTTTTAAAAATTTTATATATTCGATAAAACCAAGGATCCTTGATAAAACATATAATCAGTGACGGACCCAGGAGGCATAGAGGGCGTACGCCTCTTCCTTGTGAAAAAAAAATAAAATCTCATTATTCTCACGATTTATATGATTTTTAGCATATAATCGTCCATTTTTTTTTCGCCTCGCTCTGCTCATTCTATTTTCTAGGAATACGCCCCTTTTAAAATCCTGGATCCGCCCCTCATGATAAAAAAAAACCTCCATGTAACATATAAGAGATAAATAGAATGGGAAAGAGGACGAAAAATTTATTTTTAAGTAATGAACAGATGGCAGTAAAGCTTATATGTATACACATCAGAGTTCGAGAAGGTCTATATAGATAGGTGACTTGAAGCTTACTTCAAGCAACTGCGAGCATTTTGCGTCGAAATTATTTAGAAGTTTCTTTTTTTTTTCTGAACTGAAATTTCACTGATTTTGTGCTGATTGAGTTGAAATAAATTTGGGGAGAGTTGGGGAGATGTTGTGTATCCATGACAAAAACTTATTTCACTACCATGTTATATGTTGATATTTTTGGTTTGATTTGATGCACGTGCATGATTTTCTCCAATTTGTAGGGTGGATGTATCATGCCGTGCTGGTCATTTTTGAAATGTACACTTCTACCATATAGCTCCTTTGGTTTTCAAAAACAATGGCAAGGAAATGCTTAAAAGGTTAACATCTCTTTATTATGTATAGATACGTTTTTTCTATAGGCTTAAAAAACTGATTTGAACTGGTCCATAATTTGTGTGTTCATTGGTGACCCAAGGGGGTTAAGGGAATTCGGGGCTGCCTAATGGCCAAAAATTTGTGTTTGGAAGGACTCTTTATAATTGTTGACTGCTTGAAAATATCGATGCGCCCGTCCACATCCTTTTTGGAAAATCTTTGATCCGTCACTTGTTTTTTTTTTTGTTTTTATTTTTTAAGGAAATAGGTGTTGATGGTAAATATTTGAAAGTCCGCCATAGCTTTTTTGGAGTTTGTTTAAAGTCGGACAATTTTGACCTTGACACTCTTTTACTTTAGATCTTATGCTGAGGAGCTATAGGAGGGGTAGTCATCCCTAATTCCTGAAAAAAAAAATAAAGCATTTTTTCCCGGATCCCGAAAAAATAATCATTGATTCCCGAATTCCGATAAGGGTTAATCCCGATAAGGGTTAATCCCGAATTCCCGCGAAAATAAAGGCCCAATCCCGAATTTCCGAAAAACTATAGGTCTAATCCATACATCCCGAAATAGGACCTTCCGCCCTCTATGCTGATCTCTAGACTCCATATATACAATCTGATTGAAATAGCTGTTACTTTTACTCTGCTACCCACGTACTACACCAATCAATAACCGATTAGGGTGGAATAGGAGTAGAGACTGAAAAACGAGGGGAAGGGTTAAACTTATGAAATTGGCAAGCAAAGAAGAAAAAAAGAACCACAGAGATCTGTGATCTAATAGTTTAGAAGTTAGTCAGTGTCCTCTTTTTGTTTTCATTTTTTATATTCAATATCTTTTTTTAAGAGTGGGGGCAAAAACATAGCCTTTATAAGTTATTTAAGACACCCCCTCCGGCTCCTACACCCGTGTTAATTGAACGGAAAAGCTATTTTAGATAAGGATGACAATTGAAACTTTCTAGAACTAAGAGGGTCTGGATGCGGAGTGGGTCTTCATTGCCTTTTTTAGGCCATTTTCTCTATTCTTTTTTTTTGCCAATTATTCTCTAGTTTTTTTCATATAATTACTTTGACACCGTTTTATTCTCTTTTCTTTATTTTCTTGCCCCTTATTCTCTTTTTTGTAAACTCCACCAAGACACTGAACTACGATTGCCTCCCTTAGGCAAAGTTGACTTAAGGCTTGTTGCAAAGCAGTTTATCTGGTTACTCTAGAAGAGATCGTATACCATGTCGTATGTACCAGTGCTCATTATATAAAAAGAAGATGTGGTATGATTGCCAACGAGACAACTCTCCACAATAGACCAAATAACACAGAAATTAACAACTCAGTGGCGGATCCAAGGGGGGGGGGGGGGGTTGGAACCCCCTCCAACCCCCCCTTTTTTGACGATCAATGCATTTGAATGGGGACATATAGTTTGACCCCCCCCCCCCTTTATACTGGGTTATAGGAACCCCCCTTTTATAAATGGCTGGATCCGCCCCTGAAGATGATAGGTCACCGTTTGGCCTTCAACAATGAGCAAAGCCCATACCGCATAGTCAGCTATAAACTTAGCCAGTTATAAGTCATGTACGCGTTAAACTGTTGCAAGAGTTTTTGGTTTGTATTTTCAAGTCTTATCAAGCATGCGTAGTATCATTTCTTGTTAATCAAACTAATGATATTCCCGCGGCATGGTGATGAAGACGACCTCCTTAAAATAGACTAGATATGCAGTCTATAACTTCTATTTTATTTTGTCTCTGTTGGAGAGTTGTCTCTTTGGCAATCAAACCACATCTTCATATTTTCATATAGCTTTGGAGCTGTACCATGTGTATGATCCGCAAATTATCAACAACATATCCCAAGGACCATGAGATCTACGATTCCCCAGATATACAGTTTAGTGCATAGGCAACGATGAGAAATGGATTAAGTCTTGCTTCGATAACATGGGACTGCTTGAAAAGGTTTAGAAATATTATTGACATTTCACTATTCCAAAAAGTAGGGATTAGATGTTTGTTTGTAGAAATTTTACATTTAATCGCATTTCATCATAATTTTTTTTTACGATAAACACATCAACCAGGTAGGCATAAAAGAGAAAGTTTGCAGTATTCAGGCCAAAACGTACCAAGACACAAAACGTAGTTTAACTTTTGGCTTGACCAATTACAATTTGTTGGTCAAATTGAACGAGTGTAAGTATACATAACAGACTAGCATTTTTGACGATATACATCAACCATGTCTATATAAGAGAAAGTTAGCAGTTGCTTCTCAGAGCAATGTTCAGCTCTAAAAGTATCAAGACAACTTGAGCACATTTTTTAACCGGACAAATTATAATTTGCGGGAAAATTGAACGAGTGAAAGTATACATAATGGACTAGAATTTATATACTTATACATACCTATATCTTTAAAGTAGTCCTCTGCATATAATTTATCACCAGGATATGTTAGATAACGAATGACCTATGCTTTTGATAGTAGAAAAGTTAAAATGGCGGCGTCCGTCGTGCACTTTCTAAAATATACCTTGAAAAAGTTGTCAAAGCTAATTTTAGATGACAAAATTCAAGCATGCAATTTTCAAAGTATTTGTTAGTATTCACAAAACCCTAAAACTTGTCATCAGACGAAAAAATATAACCAAAACGTCAAAATATTGACAGTTAGAGCTAAAAAATTTGTTTACCTTAATTTTTTCTTTATCAATGAAAGAAAATGCTGACTTGTGGTTTGTATTGATTACGGAGTTTATTATAGTCGCCTTCGTACCAGATGTTACTAACGATTTGGTTGGAGTTTTTGTATATAATTTCATAAAATCATATCTATAACGTCGTCTGCATACATTTTAGTTGTCGTCTGGGGTATTTACCAAAAAAACTATTTTGGCGCGAAAAATTACGTAATTTTGAAACTTGATAAGACAAAAATAAAATCTCAGAAGTATGAATATTACATATATATAATAGCTTTCCAAACTTTTGTCTCGACACTTGTCTGATGAAGACGAAAATAACACTTCATAAATTCTGAAGCGCTTAATTATCTGGAAGGAAAGCTCAAACAAAAAAAATAAAAGCCAAGGATATATGAATATTCATAGGTACTTGGGAACAGGACAATTTTTAACCTCTCCCCCTTTTTTTTCAAAAATCCGTTACTTTTTTAATTTTCTATGAATTTCAATTATTTTTGCGTTTTTGTGTCTTATATGAAATAAATATACTAGAAATAACCTTTGACTGCAATTTACTATCAATTCAAGTTTACTATCTACAGCGGTCATTGATATATTCCCTTAATGAAGATTAACTTATATGAGAGCACTTCAAACAACATGCCCTTAGAGCTGACAACTTCCCCCTCTTTTTTTTTTTGGGGGGGGGGGGGGGGGGGGGGGGGGGGTTGAAATTTGTTGTTGAATTTTTCTTTAATATTTCAACTTATTCTATACCCTCCTGCTCTCATCCATTAAATATTACAATAAGTAACATTTTACATATATCATCTTAAACGTATACAAAAAAGGGGGGTCTGGTCCAAACTCTTAGCGCCTTTAATTCGGACGCAATCAAATTCAAAATATATTACTCAATACGCTACTACTGGGTTGATAAAAATCCGTGTGAATGTTAGCGGGTCGCCGAGTACATGACTTGCTCACTGAGTATTCAGTGCTTCACTGTTCTCATGGGGAAGGGGATGGGAAGATGCTAAATAATTGGGATGGGTGGATGAGGCAATCGAAACCCAATACAATATCCTAACCTTTATCCTTGTTGAAATTGAATCAATGTACATAAAAAGAGTGTGTAAAAACAGTGTAACTTTCACAATATTGCTTTAAAGTTCAAACGGTCCGTGTAACACTTAACAATTCAAAATTTTAAAAAAGTTTTCAAATTTTAGAATTTTGGATTTTTGATCAAAGTTTTAAAATATCAATATTTCAAATTTTGGAAATTTTATGAAATATTGAAAATTTCACCAAATAATTAAAATTTTGAAATTCTAAAATTCATTTTAAATTTTGAGTTTAGATTTTTAATCAAACTTTGAAAATACTAAACTTAACGTGCAGTTTTGATTATTTCGCTTTTCGAAAGTTTAATTTTTTAATTTTTTGATTATGAGATATTAAAAATAGAAAACAGGCGAAAAAAGAACATACGTATCATTATCGCGTTTGGGTACCTGTAAAGTGCGAAACGGAATAAAAACGGAACGAAACGAAACGAAATGAAATGAACAGTAAATTTTACTTAAGTAATAATTACATTACACGCGTTGCATTACGTTTGCGCGCATTACCATTACATTTGCGCGCAAAAATCATTACGTTTGCGCTCCGCTTTTGATTACATTTGCGCGCATTTTTTTTGACAGGTAAACCCAGGAAAATACAGGTAACAATACTTATTTATCTATTAATTTATTCAATTATTCACAATAATAATTTTTATCGGTATATAGCCATTGTCAAACTCTTCAGGTCTTTCCCTATAAGTGTTTCTTCTTCTATATTCATTAATTCCTAACGGACTTCATAGGTTATGTCTTATGTCACTTTTTTCTTTACCACTACGCGGATAATCTTCCTCTCAAGTTTTCTAGAATCGGACTCGTCTTTATGTTCAGTTACCATTTAGAATGGCTGTTGAATGTTCTTCAGTTTTATTCTGCCTTTGTAATCCTTAACATTGCATCGCCAAGATATATCCCCTGACTTCAGTGTTCTATCAATAAGGAAAGTAAATCCATCGTACACTAATGTTTTTTTTCTCTGATTTGTTTCAGACAAACGAAACACTTTTCACTCTGAAATATTCGCAATGAAGTTACATGTATGCCTTAAGCTATAACAGGATTTATCATGATCACTTTATATTTTGTTTTAGAGTTCAAATTGAACAATATATAATTTGAATGAACAAGGTTTTTCAAAATTAATAATTTATAGTCATATTTATTATGAAAATTAACAAATTATAGTCATATTTATTATGAAAATTAACAAATTATAGTCATTTATATTTTTATATTATTTTTATTCATATCACCTTTATTTTTATATACCTGAGGTTACCTATAAAATAAATGCCCGCAAATGTAAAAAAAATTTAATCCGCAAATGCGCGCAAACGTAATGCACCCATTACATGTATGTTTCAGAAGAATCCGTTATTTTGATTGGATAACAACGCTTGCGCGTCATACTAAAATTAAACTTCATATCCCGATGAAGTGTAACATTCATGATGACACGTGCCATCACAATAAAGTGCACAGGTTAATTAAAGAAATCGATTTTTCATGACCCTAGCATAAAAATGTAATTATAAGAATTGAATGCCTCTTTAAGTAATTTTATAGGGTTGTAAAAGTGTTGATCGTGCACACATTTCTAGAATGAAGCTTCCGCGCTTCATACAAAATGTGCTTCGGTCAACATTTTTACACCCCAATTAAAATACAAAAAGAAGCATTCAATTCTTACATGTATAAAATAAAACATAGGCGGTGAAAAATTCAATAACAAAATAAATATTTATGAAAAGCGGAGAATTAATTTTGAAATAAGAAACAAACACGGTTCTGATTATGATAATTCCTAGTCAGTAATAAAAGGCACGAAACATATTAAATCATTTTCAATTGCAAAAAATAAAAAAAAAAATAGAAATTAAAGAAGAGGTTGTATTTTTTTTTTAAACAAATCGGACATCACATGAGATAACAGTATCCTGAAATTTTTAAGGTTTTGCATCTATTTTTAAACCTATTTAAAGCTGCATTAAACAAATTAATCTTCTTTTAAAAAATCTCTAACATCCAGATAATTTTTTCATCACTATTTGGTTTTCACAATTAATCAAAAGATAACAGCGAATTTCTAATTTATTGGTCGAAATGGACAAAAGAAATTTTAGGTTGGATAGTGAACTCCTTTTTAGCTCACCGGAGCCCGAAGGGCCCCATGTGAGCTTATGCCATCACTTGGCGTCCGTCGTCGTCCGTCGTCTGTCGTCGTCGTCTATTGTCGTTTGTCGTCTGTCGTCGTCGTCGTCTGTTGTCGTCAGTCGTCGTAGTCTGTTGTCGTCTGTCGTCGTAAACTATTTCAAAAATCTTCTCCTCTGAAACTACTAGGCCAAATACCTTCAAACTTGAACTCAATGTTCCTTAGGGTATCTAGGTTATAAATTGTATCCGAAGTTTTGATCCATCGACAAACATGGCCGCCATGGCTAAAAATAGAACATAGGGGTTAAATGCAGTTTTTGGCTTATATCTCAAAAACTAAAGCTTTTAGAGCAAATCTGACATGGAATAAAATTGTTCAATTGGTCAAGATCTATCAGCTCTGAAATTTTCAGACGAATCGAACAACCCATTTTGGGTTGCTGCCACCGAATTGGTAGTTTTAACAAAATTTTGCAGTTTTTTGTTATTATTTTGAATATTACTATAGATATATGTAAACTGTAAGCAGCAATAATGTTCAGCAAAGTAAGATCTACAAAAAAGTGAATATGACCAAAATTGTCAATTGACCCCTTAAGGAGTTATTGCCGTTTAAAGACAATTTTACACAATTTGTTCATCAAGTTTGCTAACATTTAAAAATCTTCTTCTCTGAAATACAGGTGAGCGATTCAGGCTCTTGAGAGCCTCTTGTTTACTATTGTGTTTGTTCTACGCTTTTGCACAAACTTCACTTGCTTGATAAAGCGCCCATCATTTAGGAGTTCTAACATGAGTGATGACATCATTTATAATAAACCTTTCTAAAATTGTTTACCTCCTAGGGGGGTCGGGAATATAAATGTTGTCACTAATGTCCTATTCCGACCAGCTGTAAAACTTTTGCCAAAGTGGGGCGTCCGTTTGGCTGTGTGGGCTGTACAAGTATGCAGTCATATCAGGTCAGAATGGGGCTTGTAGAGAGTGCCACGCTCTCTGCACGTTACGAACCCTTGCAACAACTCTTTGAGGGTCCGTTGGTGGCCTGTTGCAAGGCAAAATTTCTGTCCCTATCAAATATACCCTAATTTTCCAGTGGCAGTCTAAATTTTCCAACCTTCATCCCGAACGGCCGCTATTACAGGACCTACCTATTGTATTTTTTGGGTAATTTGTCCTCGTCCTGAACATGCATGAAATGTTTGCCACTGGACGTTAAGCAACCAACAATCAATCATCTAAAATTGTGTGTATACAAATTTACAAATTTTAAAGAAACTAAGGTTCAACTCCCTCAGGCAAGGTTGACCTTAGATGGATTTTGGTAATTAATAGGTCCGTTTTGCTCTTTTAGCTCTTCAACTGTTTCGGTTCTATACATCATTGGCTTTGAAATAAATGTATTCAGCTATGAGCCTTCTGGATGAAGTAAATCAAGATAAGTGCTTCGGAGGCATGAAATTTATAAAATGTTGTTTTTATTTTCTATTGGATATTCCATTCTATCCAAATATTATTGCCAATGGGAAATAGTACTTTGGATGGATTAAGTGTGTGTGTTTTGTTTCTTTTTTGTTATTGTAATCTATTTTTTGTTGTTGTCTCTTTTAGTAGAATATTTGTGTTCATATTGGATTTTTCGGATTTTTCACTGATATTCCTTAGTTTTCTTCCCC